CCACTACCACTACTACTACTACTACTACTACTACTACTGCTACTGCTACTATTACCACTAGTTTACCACTACTACTACTACGGCTACTGCTACTACTACTACTACTACTACTACTACTACTACGACTACTACTGCTACGACTACTACGACGACTACTACTACTACTACTGCTGCTACTACTACTACTACTACTACTACTTCTACTACTACTACTACTACTACTACTACTACTACTACTACTAGCGACGACGACAACGACGACTACGACTACCATGACGACTACTACTACTACTACTACTACTACTACTACAACTACTACTACTACTACTACTACGACGACGACGACTACTGCTGCTACTACTACTACTACTACTACTACTACTACTACTACTACTAGTACGACTACTACAACTACGGCTACTACGACTTCTGTTGCTACTAAAACTGCTACTGCTGCTACTGCAACGGCGACAACGACTACTACTACTACTACTACTACTACTACTACTAATATTACTACGACCACCCGTACTGCTACTACTACTACTACTACTACTACTACTACTACTACGACGACGACGACTACTACGACTACTACGACTACTACGACCGACGAACAACAACGACGACGACGACGGCGACTACTACCATCATGGACTACTACTGACTACTACTGACGACGACGACGACGACTACTACTACTACTGCTACTACTACGACTACTACTCATACTACTACTATTTCTACTACTACTACTACTAATACTACTACTACTACTGCTACTACTGCTACTACTGCTACTACTACTAGAAGTAGTAGCAGTACTACTACTACTACTACTACTACTACTACTACTACTACTGACTACTACTACTACTACTACTACTACTACTACTGCTACTACTACTACTACTACTACTACTACTACTATTACTACTACTGCTGACGACTACTGGCGACTACTGGCGACTACTACTACTACTACTCGTGCTACTACTACTGCTACTACTACTACTACTACTACTCCTACTACTACTACTACTACTACTACTACTACTACTACTACTACTATTATTACACATATTAAACATACAAGAAATACTACTACGAGTGCAACCAATACCACTACTACGACTACTACGACGACTCTTTGGGGCCCAACTCACCACGACTCATGGGAACCCAACTACGACTACTACGACTGCTACCACTACTACTACTACTACTACTACTACTACTACTACTACTACTACTACTACTACTACTACTACTACTACTACTACTACTACTACTACTACTACTACTACTACTACTACTACTACTACTACTACTACTACTACTACTACTACTACTACTACTACTACTACTACTACTACTACTACTACTACTACTACTACTACTACTACTACTACTACTACTACTACTACTACTGCTACTACTACTACTACTACTACTACTACTACTACTACTACTACTACTACTACTACTACTACTACTACTACGACTACTACTACTCCTACTACTACTACTACGACGACGACTACTACTAAGACTACTACTACCATTAATACGACTACTACGACTACGACTACCACGACTACTGTTACTACTACTACGACTACTACTAGTACTGCTACGACGACGACGACGACCACTACTACTACAACTACTACTAATACCAGTGGGACTACTACTACTGCTACTCCTACTACTACTACTACGACGAAATACGACGACGCCGACGACGACTACTACTATCATTGACTACTACTGACTACTACTGACTACTACTGACGACTACTACTACTACTACTACTACTACTACTACTACTACTACTACTACTACTACGACGACTGCTACTGCTACTACTACTACTACTGCTGACGATGATACTACTACTACTACTACTACTACTCCTGTTGCTGCTGCTGCTGCTACTACTACTACTACTACTCTTATTACTACTACTACTACTACTACTACTACTACTACTACTACTACTACTACTAATACTACTACTGCTACTACTACTACTACTACTACTACTACTACTACTACTACTTCTACTACTACTACTACTACTACTACTACTACTACTACTACTACTACTGCGACTACTGACGACTACTGACGACTACTGACGACTACCACTACTACTACTACTACTACTACTACTACTACTACTACTACTACCACTACTACTACTACTACTACTACTACTACTACTACTACTACACATGCTACAAATACTACGACGACGGCTACCACTACCACTACTACGACTACTACGACGACTCTTTGGGGCCCAACTCACGACGACTCTTGGGGGCCCAACTACGACTACTACGACTGCTACCACCACCACCACTACTACTACTACTACTCCTACTACTACTACTACTAGTACTACTACTACTACTACTACTACTACTACTACTACTGCTACTACTACTACTACTACTACTACTATTACTACTGTTACTGTTACTGTTACTACTTCACGACTACTACTACTACTACTACTACTACTACTACTACTACTACTACTACTACTACTACTACTTCTACTTCTACGACTACGACTACTACTACTACCACGACGACCACTACGTCGCCGTCGGACCCTTTCTTGGGGGCCCAAGTCAGACCCGTCGAGGCTTCCTCGCGACACGAAGGAGTCAGGGCCCGGGGGCCCAATATCAATTTCCAGGCCTGTTCTGTGGTGCGTAATGAACCGAATGTGAAGGCGGATCCAGCCGTGGCGACGAGGAGCCTGCCAGAGGCACAGAACGGGCGCAGAACGTCAAAACGCAATCGATGTTCAAGACTGCGAACCTCGAACTTCCTGGGTCCCCCTCCTCCTGCTGCTCCACCTCGAGGCACCTGTAGAGGACCTGTATCTGGGGCGGGCTCTTGCTGGATGGCCAGCCGCTGGACGGCGGCCGGCAACCTCGCCTCGATGGGACAGGCGATCAAACCTGGTCTGGCCCCTGCCTGGGAGGAGGTCCTGGACCGAGAGGCCCCGCCGAAACCACTGCTTCTTTGAACAGTGCTCTTGCTCCAAGAGGTGTTGGGTCTGGAATCTTCTGGGAGACGGCTCAGTGCAACTATGCGCCCAGACTCGTCTTGCGACGCGGCAATCGAGCGACGACGCGTGGTCGAAGAGGGCCCCGCGGCAGCCCAAGAGAGCTCCAAAACGGTCCGGGAGCGCCCAGCACGGCCCCGAAACGGTCGCGGGGGGCGACCAGGGACTTGGCTGGAGGGGCGACGTGCTCTTTACAACTTAAAAGGGTCAACGGCCACTCCCGGCTGCCGCCCGATGTCCTGGGCCCCCCGCGCGCGCGCGCCTGAAGAAGCGGCCGCGGTACAGAATGGGCGGCGGTAAGCTGCCCTGCCTGTGCCTCTTCAAGATCTCCTGGGGCTCGCGGGCGCCGCTGGCCTCCTTCTCCCCCCGCAAAAAGCACCCCTCCCGCTGCTCCGTCCCCACCTTCCTGCTCCGATCTGTTCTCCTGGCCCCTTGGGGGCCAGCAGAAAAAGGACGTCCCTTAAGCAGACTCCGAAGCGCCCTCTCTGTCTCGGTCTCGGTCTCGGTCTCGGTCTCGGTCTCTCTCTCTCTCTCTCTCTCTTTCTCTCTCTCTCTCTATACATATATATATATACACATTATGTTTTCTCATTCTCTCTATATGTCATGTTTAATAGTGCCTCTATCTCTCTGTATCTATGAATCCCTCTCTCTTACTCTCTGTCGGTATCCCTCTCTCTCTCTGTCTCTGGATCTTGGTGTTGTTACCTTTGTGAATATTTCTCCCTCCCTTTCTCTACCCTTGCTGTGTGTCTGCTCTGTCTCTCTCCCTCTCTCTTTTCTCTCCTTCGGTCCGCTCACGAGCGAATGCAGAGAAAAGGGACGATGTGTTTGTAGACGCGTGCTCCTGTTAATTCGGTGCAGCGCAACATCGGCTGTCGCATGTGTGTGGCGTCAACGCGCGCTAATGCTCACTTGAACTTAAACCTTCCGCAGAGGAATGTGTCCAATGTGGCCCGCTGTTTTACGGCGCGCCCACCCTGCCACGGTGGCGGGGGGGGGCCCACGGCCCACAAGCGGGCGGGCAACGTGCCCACGTCCTGCACGAACCGCTTGCTCTCGTCCGGGTCGACCGCGTGGTGAGCGGTGTAGAACACCTTGGCCACCTGCGCGGGACGCGGGCGGGTCTCCCGTGTGCGGGTGGCGGGCAGGAGCACGTAGAGGGGGGGACGGCTATCAGCAGAGTGAGCGGGCCGAGTGGCCAGCAATTGCTGGATTACAGCTGCACGCCTCGCCGATACCGTGAACGAATCTATCAGACCACTTCTCTACACGGCCGCTTGTTTCGATGGGGGCGACAAGATCACGCGACTCTCGACACCCTCCCCTGGCGCTGCTGCTCATCCCGGGCCGTTCGCTGACGGCCCTCTCTGCCCGCCGCCAGCCTCCAGACTCCAGAGACCACGAGGTGCGACAAGTCATGGTCGCGGTCGTTACCTTCGCGAGGTGGTCTGGCCTTCGGGTCACAACTCGGGTCCCCGGCGGCAGCTCGGGGCGATCTGGGCACCCCGGGGAACTTCTCGGCGAGGCGCAGGTGAACACCCCGAGGCTGAAAACATCTGAGGACCGACGAAGACCGTCCTCGCCTTCGCTTGGACGTCCATTCCCCGTGCATTGTGCGATTTCGTGCGAGTCGTTTTCGCACGATGATGCAACATGCTCCTCGATGGCCATCGCCGAGAAACAATGCACACGTCCGAGCGATGCCGAACGTCCGAAGAACTCGCCCCGCCCCCTTCTGCGACGTCCGAGGCGCCAGACGTCCCGGGATTGGGCTCCACAGTTTGGCTGGCGGGCGAGCGAGCAGGGGCAGCAGTGGCGAGGGCGGTCGCTCTCTGCTCGGGCAGGCCAGCGGGACGGCAACCAATGGCAGGGAGGACCCTGCGCCAGAACAGCGCGGCAAACCTTCCATTCCTTTTCGCGACATGCAGAACTCGAGGGGGAGCCCTCTTGCCACGTTCGGCTTCCGAGGGGCACTGCGGGGGCCCAGGACAGCCAAAAAACGGAGCGGACCACTGCAGATGACGATTACGGCAAGGCAAATGTGAAGCCACAAAGCATGCCATAGCAAACAAACTATCAGTCTGGTAAAGATAACGTCCTGCGAATGTGCGCCGCCAATATACATATGCAAAAACGATGCGCGCGCCCGTTTCACGTGCGCAGATTCATTCTGGCAGGCCGAGAGCCGGCTGTCCTTATAATTTGCCATCAGAACGGCGCAGCAGAAGGGTCCGTGTGCCAGGCCGGCACAGTAGCGCGTGAGGGCGCAGGCCAGGGCTGTCGATGGAGAGGATGTGCACTGAACGATTGGCTGATCCGGGGACCAGGGACAGCTTCTGCAGCGCTGCCTGCGCCCCGGCCACGTCTGCGCCTGAAAGCAGATGCGCACAGGACTCATTGTGCGACATCAGCGGCGCTCGCTGGCGCCAGAAAAGAAGACGAGGCTCTCTGGCCCCGTTGGGGTCCAGCGCCAACACCATACCAATACTGGCAGCTCGAAGACCCAGGTGCGAGGCGCCAAGCGATGTGATTACTCACCGCTGGACTGCGCGAATTCCAAATTCCAACCCAGCCCACTTGCTCAAACCGTCCATCGTCGATCTTTTTCGTAACAGCCTAGGCTCCGTCGCCCAATCTGCCACTGTGCCGTGGGCACCACATGAAGTGTCCACAAGGCCCTTGGAGTTCTCTGCGCTGGGAAGTATGGGAGCGCCCCAAGAAAGCCCAGTACACACACACACACACACATCTAACGGATTTTCCGGGACTTCCCGCGTGGCTTTCGGGGCAGCTCGCTGGACGCATTACTCCTCCCCAAAGGAAGCGTCATTGAAACACATTGCATGTGTTTCAACATTGTTGGCCCAGAGCGGGGGGTGAACCCGAACTGGCACCACGAGCCCTCTTGTGCCAAGCTGTCCCACCCACGATACCGATAAGGGGCCCCAAGAGACCTCCAAGAGAACCCCAGGATCCCCCGAAGAGTCCCCCGAAATGTCCACAATGATCCCAAGATGCCTCCAAGAGGCCCCCAAGAGAATCTCCAGGACACCCAGAGAGGCCTCCAAAAGGAAACCGCTTACTTCTGGAGATAACGTCCATCACCCTAATGAGGGGGGAGGGGGGAGGCGAGGACGGAGTCACAATAACGAGGGAGGTGGCGAGTCTTGTGGCGGCGACACCCATACAATTTCTGATGCGCCCCACCGACGGCGGCGACGAAAACGAAGACGGCGGCGAGGACAAGGACGACGACGGCGACGTCGTCGGGACGCCTCTGGAGGCCCTCGGACGCTCCTAGAGGCCCATGAGGCTGCCCGCAATGTCCCCGCAGGCCTTCGGGTGTACCGCAACAACATCCCATCCAGGCGCTTCCAAAACGCACGGGGCGGCGGTGGTTCACCGTAGGCATCTTCGATGAAACGAACGGTCTGGGAGTTCGCACGGGAACATGTGTGCAAAACCTCCGCTGCAGGACGGCAGCGTGCGCCATCCTACGCTCATTCTCTCAAGCATCCTGCGAAGGATGAACACAAAGATGGGTGGTAAAGCGAGTCTCGATCCCACCCGTGCGACCAGCCAGTGGTGGCAACGAGGACAGCAAAATCAGGGCACACCGCAGAGAGCAAACGGCGGGGCCGTCCGGGGTGCAAGGACTTCACCCTGTCCGATAGTTCGCCGAGCGCAACGTTTCGCCCGGGGGGGAGGAGGAGAAGGGCAGCCGGGGGCGGCAGAGGGGTGGGTGGGCCAGGAGGAGGTCTGCGCCAGGCAGGCCAGAGTCACCTCGCCCGAGCGCGTTGGGCGCCACTCGCGCCCATCCCAGAGAACAACGAACACTCCCGCGAGGCAACACTGCGCCTATCAGTACTGGCAGCTCACCTCCATGAGAACGCAGCCGCCCTTCGCCGCCGCCGCGGGCCGCGCCTCGCTCCAGGGCGGGTCCCAAACGCCCTCGATGGTGGCCAGCTCGCCGAGCCTGTCGGGCGGGTGGAAATGGAGGGTGGCCTCCGTTCAGGTAACCACCCAACTTATCACGCAGCCTCGTCTCTACCAGGGCGGCGTCGCGACCGAACATGTGCACGAAAATGCGTCCGGGCGTGACCGACACTGACGCCTCGACAATTTCCGACCGCGCCCAGGTGTGACCGAAACGTTTGGCTGTAAGCCAAGACGATCTGCAACTTCGGTCACATTTTCGGTCAACGCGACGGTTTCGGTCACAACTTCGGGCACGTGTTCGGTCACCGAGTTTTTTCGGTCACCTACCTTTTCGGCTGATATGGGCGGGGTGCCATGACAATTACCGCCCGCCCCACAGCCTGAGCCGCCAAACACTGGCATCTGGCGCCAATACGCCAGCTGGGGGCCTGTCCTCGACCATGACAGACGGTAGGCTCTGGACACCAGGGGTGGTCATCATGGGGCACAGGAGACTTGCGGTCGACTCGCTACCTTCCTCCTTCAAGACGACGCCAGAACGAAGACAAATTCGGGTGAGGATGAATCGAGAATCTCTGAGATCCGGCGGCTCTGAGATCCGGCGGCTCTGGAGGATCTCTTGGGCGTCGCGGGCGGCCCTCTCAGAGACTTCCAGATCGCTCTGAGAGCGTTCTGGAACGCTCTGGAACAGATTTATCCTCGTCCTAGCCCCGCCAGGTCCTTCCCCGGCGGCGGCTGCAGGACCTGGGACCGCTCCGTGACCGGACCCATCCTCGAAGTGTACGGAGGCTGCGGCAGGCTCTGGTCCACACCGTCCTCTGGGGGTGCGGTGAAGTCCAGCGGCGCCAGCCCAGGGCCGCAGTCGACCACGGGGACGACGCCGTGGCCGCTGGCGTCGCGCTCGCCATCGCGGCGCTTGCGCAGGCGACTTCTGGACTGCCTCCAGGTGAAGGCGCCGACGCCACAGGTCGCGACCACGAGCGAGGCCACCACTGCGAGCAGCTCGGAGCTGGCGCCCGCCCCGGCGCGCACCGAGTCGGACGGCGTCGTGGTCCCGGCGGCGGCCACGAACTCCACGGCAGCTTCCAGGTCGCTGACGCCGAGGACCGCGAAGTTCTCCTTGGCCAGCTCCAGAGCCAGAAGCGACTCCAGCCGAGCCGCCGCCTGCAGGAAGCGCCGCTGCACCGACAGGCCCTCGGAGGACGAGAGCCGCACCACGAAAGAGACCCGCACGCCGGCGGGGCCAGCGCCGGCCTCGAGCGGGGCCGCCGCGGAGAGGAGACGCCCGTGGGAGGCCACACTGGTGATGCCAGAAGAAATGAGAAACGGCATGAGCATCGACTTTCGGGGGTCCATGACATCCAGGCGTGGCAATTCGTTCACACACCACGCGCTGTCGCCCAGATTCGGGCCCCAGGGCCATCGCAGAGCGATCTGGCTCAAAACAGTGACGCAGGAAGATGGGGGTCTGGGGCTCAGGTTTTGATTTCTGACGCTGCGGCAATTTTTCCGCGGCGTCGGATCTCAGGGGTCCGCGCGGGTTTCTCGGATCGGCGCCTGGACCCTGGACCCCACTGCCCTGGAGCGCGGAGCGCGCCAGGGGCGGCGCCGGAGGCGCCAGGGAGGAGGGTCCAGCACCGAACCCGAGAAGTCCGCGCGGACCGCCCAAAGTTTATGCTTGAGCAGTTTTGTCTTCTTCGGTATGTCCACCAGGCCAGGCGTCGCGACGCGCAGTACGTCTGCGACACCAGAGGCGAACGCCGCGACGACGGCGTCGTCGCCCCGCTCAAAGGCGCGGGCCAGGCCGTCTGGTTCCGAGACGGCCAGGGAGAAGCTGCCAGTCAAGATGGCGGCTGCGGCCAGCACTGTGGTGGTGAGCTGGGTCGGGCTCGCAAAGGTCCTGCTGGTGGTGCCCGTGCAAGTCCGTGGACACTGCTGAATCGCTTCTGGTATACCGCAGTCCACCATGCCGCAGTACAACTCCTCCGTGTGCAAGGTCCTCGTAGTCGTCCCCGTGGGCGTCGTCGAGCTGGCGGCAGATGTGACAGCCTCGGTGTCTGTGGCGCTCGCTGTCGTGACTGAGCTGGTGATGGATGCTGCAATTCTGGTGGTTGTGGTCGTGGTTGGCATGAACGTCTGTGTCGCAGTGCCCGTGGGAGTCCCGCTCGACGAGGAGGTGCCCGTGGTGGCCGCGGCGCAGCTGCAGGAGCAGACCCCCAGCGTCTCCTGCAGAGAGCAGTCGACAAAGGCGCAGTACCACAGCTCGTCGCTGCAAACATACTGCCCCGTCGATGCCGCGCTGGCCCGGCGCCCAGGCGCGAGGGCCACTGGCCCAGCGGCGGCGGCCGTGCCCTCGGCGGCCGTCCGCGCCAGAGCGAACAGCGCCGCCCAAGCCCGCGCCAGGGCCGCAATCCGACGGCAGGAGGACGCCAACTGCGCCACGAGAGCACCAGCCATGGCCGAACCCTGGGCCAGTGAATCAATGACCCCGGGTCAGGGTTGAGCTCGGTCGGCCACCTCTGGCTTCTGAGCGCAAATGCTCACCCCAAACACGGGGTCGATCACAAATGTGGCGCGGACTAGCCTGGGGCGGCACACACACACACACGAGGACCGAGCAGCGGAAGAACTCGCGAGACCCTGCGCTCTGGTTCTCCCCCGTCAGAGCTGACCCCGACTCAAGCTCCCCGATGTCGCCCAGGATTGGCCTGACCGGGGGACTGGTGTTTCGGGGTAAGTGGGCGAAAGAGTCCCACCTGCCCTTTGTGCGAAGATTGTTCAGGGAATTTGCTCTTCCGACCTCCTTCCTTCCGTTCGGGGGGAAGTTTACCGCTCCTCCTACCCCCTCTCCCCGGGTGAGGGGGGGTTCTAAGTCGTTGAAGCGTCGGAGATGGCTCAAGATGGCCCCAAGAGGGCCCCACAAAGCCCAACATGGCCTCTAAGATCACGAAAGACACCCCAAGATGGCTCAAGATAGCCTCCAAAAGGCGCCAAGACCGTCCCAAAACGACTCCAAATTGTCACGGAGCCTCCGAAGGACCCCCCTGAGATGCCCAAATCTTTCCAACACCCGGAAGGAATCAATAGTGCCTTGTCGCTTCTGATGGGATCTTGAGGCCTCAAGCCAGCTCCAAAATGGCCCGACAGAGTCCCAGGAGGGGCCCAAGACGGCCTCAAGAACATCCAAGAGCGCCCCACGAGGGCCCCAAGAAACAACGTTCAGGCTTTTGGCGGGGGGGCCGTAATCAACGCCGCCCTCTTTTCAGACTGGTGGCCTCCAAGATGCTCCAAGAGGCCTCCAAGAAGGCTCCAAGAGAGACCAAAGAGGGAACCAAAGGCCTCCAAAATGGTCCCAAGATGGTCCAGGCAAGCTGGCGAGAGGCTCCCATATCGAAAGGTCCGCGAAGGCATGTACGGCTCACCCCTGGGCCTGCTCTGGCTGATCCCGACATTTGATTTGACGGCTGCCACCTATCCCTGCCACACTGCGTGCTCACGAACTTCCTAGATTGCTGCAACTCGCATGGGCATCATTTCTAGATTGCCTGGTGTTTTTTTCTTGATCGCGACCGCGGCGAGGAAAAGTCGGGCGGCGTCCAGACCTAGTGGGATACTTTTTTTGTCGCAACCGCAGGCGAAGGCGCCGGCAGCGTTAAAAATCGGCTCGGGCTACGAGCAGAACTAATTGCCTGGCGCGCGCAAACAAGAGCTAAACCTACCGCCGGGGGAAGCTGGGCTGCGCCGAGGGCAGAGGCTGCTACCGCCGGCAAATGGGATACGCGCAGCGTCAAGAATTCGGATAGCAACAGGGGCTGGCGAATCAGCCGCTGCTTTTTACCGCAGCCGGTGGGCGAATCGAACAATGTGCCTAGATGTGCCTGGCGGTGGGGCTGAAATCAGATGTACGCAGCAGCTCGCGCCTCGCTTTCCCAAACAATCCCTCGGTTCGGAGCTCGGGGGATGTCCGCAGCCAGGCGGACCCCAACGAGGGTGCCCGATTCCCCAGTGCCGATCGGACCCGTGGTGGGTAGTCATGTTCCGCAAGTGGTCGGATACAGCTGCGATGGGTAACCATTGGATTGGGGGGGGCGGAGCGACATGGCATCGACCTGGCATCGGGGATGCATCGACGACAGATCAGCGAAGGGGCTCCGATAGCGAATCCGAACGTTCCTGGGCGGGTGGGTTATCGGGTCGATGAATGAGCGATTGGGGGTCGATGCCTATCGCCCGACCCTTTATCTCCATGCCGAAATGCTTTCGTGCAAGAGCTCGGGCCTCCAGCGGCCGTTCGGGCGATCCGAACACCCCTGGAACGTCCTCGGCGAGGCGCAGCCGCTGGAAGGCATCGAGAAAATGGACGGCCGACTAGAGCCCACGAAGACGCCCGAAAACCTCGAACCCGACAACCTCGAGCCCATTCCCACCACCAACTCGGCGCCGGCGGCGCGGCTCCATCGCAACCCTCAGGCCCAAGCCGTCTGTGTCTTCGGACGAGCCGTGAGAAAAACCCTTCAGGAGACCGGAGGCCGCCCGAGCCTTATGAGAACGACCGCCCCCTCTGACTTTCAGCTGGACTCGCCGCCAGCGAAGGCTGCCCCATGAGGTTGGCGTCCCTCAACGGTGGCGGCCCGGAGCGGCGCCAAGCGGCATGCCTGCACTGCCGCCGCCGGGCAAGCCTCCCTTTGAGCAGGGACCGACCGTCCCGGCATTCCTATAGTCCTACCACGAGATGTTCGTAGAACCCAAACATGTTCTAAGAGCAAGAACAATGTTCTTATAGCATAGACCCAATGTGTCAAACCAAGACAGACTCCGCCAGAAATGTTCTGAGAACATCTCGTGAAAACCACAAAAGGTTCTTAGAACACTGCTTGGTCGGGCTATCGGTACGCCAGGACGCTTCGCCACTGCTTGATCGCTCTCTCTTTCCCAGCCTGGAACATATCCCTATCCCTACGCCGGGCATCTCCTCATCACGATGCCAATCCTAGGGACCCCCCTCTTTTCTGAGGGCGCGTCCCTGAGATTGTCATCGCCTCTTGGCGTGTCAATCTTAGGGATAGGGATAAGCTCGAGGCTGGTAATCTCTCTCTCTCTCTCTCTTGGGCGCCCGAGTTATCCGGGGAAACTCGGGTCCAGGGTAACTCGGGTTTGGATCCCCGAAAAAGGAACCCGAGTTAGCCTTGACCCGAGTTACCCCTGATGATGTGGGGCTCTGGACGCCCGAACTATCCGGGGTAACTCGGGTCCGGGGTAAGTCGGGTTCGGAATCCCAAAAAACCAACCCGAGCTAGCCCTGGCCCGAGTTACCCCTGATGATTCGGGGCTCTGACTCTCTCCCTCCGGCAGCTCCGCCCCGCGGCGGGCGCCCCCAGCGCCGCGCAGCTCCGCCCACGGGCACCGCCGCGCGCGGGCCGCCAAGGGGCAGCGGGCGGCGGCCGGGCCCCGGCTCTCGCGCGCCGAAACGGCTGCGCGAGGGGGCCTCCTCCTCCTCCTCCTCCTCCTCCTCCTCCTCCTCCTCCTCCTTATTCGGGGATGGACAAACCTCCCTTTAGTAAAACGTGGTTTAGTGAAAACGACTTCGGGCCCAAACCTGGCGGGCGCAAGCCTGGAAAATAACGGCCACGGCGCCCTCCCGAAAACCGAAAACGGACAATTCACTAATCGACGTGTCACTGTTGGGGGTTCTGTCCACCCCCGACTTATGCTCCTCCCTCTCCTCATTCCCCTTCCTCATCCCCCTTCCTCCCCCCTCGGGCTCGGCACGCCCGCGGCGCTCGCGGCTGCGCGCGCCACCGCTCGCGCGGTCGAGGGGCACGCGCCCCGCCCGACGGCCCCCCTCGTCTCTGCGGACTTCTCGGATCGGCGCTGGGGCCCCCCGCCGGCGCCTCCGGCACCGCCCCTGGCGCGCTCCGCGCGCCAGGGAGGGGGGTCCAGCGCCGATCCAAGAAATCCGCGCGGACCTCAGAGTTTTTATGTTTATGTCACTTTGTGTTCCTCTATGCGAGGAGTGCCGGATGCTGCGTGCTGCTGCGTCTGCCGCACGGCTGCCTCGATCTGCGCCCAGCCTCCAGGACTTCTCACCAGCTTGGACTCGGGCTCCCCTTCCGAAGGGGGGCGACTCACAATGCTCGCTCCATGTGTCCCACGAGCGACCTTCGGCGTTTGTGCGAGGGCGGCAGCGTGGAAGCACGGCCTGGCACAGTGGGGGCATCGGATAAGGAAGCACTGGATGAGGAGCCCAGGATCTGAAAGCCTGTGGAACTCCAACCGTGGATCGGCAATGGATATTATCGCTACACGCTCGCGTTGGCAGTGAATATCACCACAGCCCGCGGCAGAGGGCCCCAGCACTCGCACCATCATGGCTGCGAAAGGATGTATTGGTCAGCGGCGAGCTGGTTCCAACAAACGATCGGCGAACGGCGGAACACTCAGCAAGCAAATTACGCACACGGGAACAGGCAGGCAGGAGGGAAGAAGAGGAGGGCCGAGGGACAAACAGAACGCCTTCAGAACATGAAGCACTTCCAGGTGTGCTAGAGTCAGGCTCAAATCCTCGCAACTGTCAGTGCGTGCGCAGATACATCGCAGATCCAGGAGAAGGCCACGAAACATGCGAAGGTCAGGAAGGAATCCAATAGCAGGATCGGCAACGCAGCTGCGAAAGGACTGGTTGCAGAACGATTTCACGAACGGCCTTCGACGTTAGTGGGGTGGCGACAGCGTGCAGGCACAACCTGGTAAGTACCCTGAAACTCTGAGCATGCGCCAAAACAGGACTCTCGCACGAAATTGCTTCAAACTGTTGCACCTCCTGCCCTGCCTTCTTCGTTCCGGCCAGCCTCGGTGGACCACGACATTTCTGGCTTCAATGTATGCAGATAAACCTCCCACCGGTTTCACAGCAAATCAGCGCCCCTCTAACGGGGACTCCACTAACGGGTACTTTGGCCAGTGGCCCGGCGAACCCAACCCTCCCCGATGTGGACAACGCTGCAATGCCAGAAAGAGGCCCTAAAGCGGCAACTTTCAGCACATCTCCAAAGTACCCATAAGTGAGTACCCGTTACGGTGCCGCTGAGCAAAGCTCTGGTTGACCCTGCCGGACCTCGGGATGACATGGGCGTATGGCGCGCTCTTGCAAAACACGCGTGGGGGGGTCCACGGTAAAACACGGTCCTGGCCAGATCGGGACTCCAATCCGACTCTCGTCAGAACAACTCGAATCCCACTAGGAGTGATTAGGCAACGAGACTATGTGGCTTCGCTGCCTGGAAAGGCGCAGGACCCCGCAGCGATGAGGAAGAATCAAGAGCAGCAGACACCTTACTGCGCGAAGTGGCATCCGATCTGCCCTCAACTTTGACAGTGAAGGGGCGGGAGTCGAAATGGGGGAGCGCGGCCCCCGGCCATCGACGATACGTCGCCGACAGATCCGCGGTGTGCCCCCGATGGGGAAACTTCACGCCGCTGGGCAAGCAGGGGCCGCCCAGGCCCAGATCGGCTAGGAATGGGCGATCGGGGTCCGTGTCCCCCCCTCCCCCGAGCCAGTCCTGGGCGCCCCTGGCATGGAGGACTGAAGTCTACCCATGCTGCCCACGTACTCCCCCTGGATCTCGCCAGGCAGTCCGCTCTGACCGGGATGTCGAAGACAAGCCCGGGATGTAGAAGACAAGCCAGGCGTGGTGACGAGGGCTCTCCAGGACGAGCAGCGGTACCCCAAATGTAAAACAGAACCTGCTTGTGTTTTTGTTCGCGCGGCACTTTTGGCCGAGGCCCCTGCCGAATTAAGGAGTGCGGCGTTCAAAACTTCGTTTGCAGGAAATTGTGCGACTGTCCCCCCGCCAAATTTAATCATGCCAAGCTTATTGTTTCGCTCAGCGGGGAACATGGGAAAGCTGTAGATCCAAAAGAAGAACTCCGATGGCTTGGTAAAATGCCGCGCAACTTGACTACACTAAGAGCTTCCCTTGGGAGGCTGTTCGGGTCTGTTCGGTCTCTCTTGTATGATTGGCACGTGTTCAGCTGATCTTGGATTTTCTGGGGCCTCGGGGGTGTCCCATAAACTGTCTTCGAAAGGCCACCGCTATTTCCACCACTATACTACTGCTGCATTTGATACAACCACAGTATCACTACCATAGCTACTACGACTACGACTACGACTACGACTACGACTACGACTACGGCTACGACTACGACTACACTACGACTACGACTACGACTACGACTACTACTACTACTACTACTACTACTACTACTACTACGACTACTACTACTACTACTACTACTACTACTACTACTACTACTACTACTACTACTACTACTACTACTACTACTACTACTACTACTGCTACAACAACTACTACTACTACTACTACTACTACTACTACGACTACTACTACTGCTACAACAACAACTACTACTACTACTACTAACTACTACTACTTACTACCACTACCACTACCACTACCACTACTACTACTACTACTACTACTACTGCTGCTACTACTACTACTACTACTACTACTACTACTACTACTACTAGTACTACGACTACTACTACTACTACTACTACTACTTCTACTACTACTACTACTGCTACTGCTACTGCGACTACTACTACTACTACTACTACTACTACTACTACTACTACTACTAGTACTACTACTATTGCTACTACTACGACTACTACTACTACTACAACTACTGCTACTACTACTTCTACTACTACTACACTACTACTACTACGACTACTACTACTACTACTACTACTACTACTACGACGACGCGACGACGACGGACGACGACGGTACTAGTACTAGTACTAGTACTAGTAACTAGTACTAGTACTACTAGTACTAGTACTAGTACTAGTACTAGTACTAGTACTACTACTACTACTACTACTACTACTACTACTACTACTTACGCAGGAAAAAAGTTGTTCCTCTTGAGGTGAAATGGCCATGAGGAGTTCGCGAAACAACGTCGGCGCCGCCGAACGGACGGCGACCGGACGAGCTGTTTGCAGCAACCGGGGGAGGAGGGATGTATGTATTCATGTTGAATGGGGCCCGCTCGCGCGGGGAGTTGATGGGAGTGCGCGAGACGACGCGGGGCCCATCGTGGAAAGTTGATTACCGAACCCCCCTCCCCCATAGAATCTTAACACGGGCGGTTTGCGGGGTCAGCGGATCCGATTTCTTCCGGCCCCCTGGTTTAATTTAATAATATAAATTTAAAACAGGGTGGAAATCGGATCCGCCGTAAAGAATAAGACCGGACTCGGGACACGGATCCAGCTAATCCGAAATCGGATCCGTGCGGACGGAAATCGGATCCACCGAAACAAACACCAAAACCACACTTGGAACCGCGCGAGTTTCATGAGATCCGACGGCGGTTATCTCATACGGGTATGTTCAAGACTTGACACCGTCGTTCTGGGCCCAAGAGGAAAAAACTTTTGTCATGGCGATGTACGACTACTACTACTACTACTACTACTACTACTACTACTACTACTACTACTACTACTACTACGACTACTACTACTACTACTACTACTACTACTACTACTACTACTACTACTACTACTACTACTACTACTACTACTACTACTACTACTACTACTACTACTACTACTACTACTACTACGACTACTACTACTACTCTACTACTACTACTACTACTACTACTACTACTACTACTACTACTACTACTACTACTACTACTACTACTACTACTACTACTACTACTACTACTACTACTACTACGACTACGACTACGACTACGACTACGACTACGACTACGACTACGACTACGACTACTACTACTACTACTACTACTACTACTACTACTACTACTACTACTACTACTACTACTACTACTACTACTACTACTACTACTACTACTACTACTACTACTACTACTACTACTACTACTACTACTACTACTACTACTACTACTACTACTACTACTACTACTACTACTACTACTACTACTACTACTACTACTACTACTACTACTACTACTACTACTACTACTACTACTACTACTACTACTACTACTACTACTACTCCTACTACTACTACTACTACTACTACTACTACTTGTTTTGCTGCTGGGCATTCTTCGGCCACGCCAATGGCAATATGGACAAACACTATGCTTCGTTTTCGCTTTTGGGAGTGAAACGCTCAGCGCCTCCGCCAAACAAAACAATCCCAAAATGAAACGTTCTTTCGTAGGGCATTTTGGCGCGGCGCATTCGCCAAATATGAGTTTGCGGCCATTCATAACTTGACGGTGCCGGCACCCGCACCTCCCATGATAAAGCAGACGCCGCGGGCCCTTTTTGGCTCGGCTGGCGCCCTCGCGGCACCTCTTGGCGGCGCGCAAACAAGGTCGGAGGAAAGGGGGAGGCTTCGTAGAAGGAGCCTGCTCCGTAAGAGGCGCCGACCCTACTTCTGTAGAGAAGTGACGCGCCTTGTAAGAAGCAGCCTTCTTCCGAGGAGCCCTCCCCCCCCTCCCCCCCACCCGTGCCGAGGCTCCCGTGCCGCACCACCACGTCGAGCCAGAAAGGAGCGGCGGGCTCCTCCGCCGCGACGGCCGCTCCGCTCGTGAGGCCGAGCGCCCGCACGGTGCTCTGCACGGCCGCCTGCAGGCGCGAGGTGGTCAGCCCGCCCACGGGCGACCTCGTCGCGTGCGCGTGCATGTGCCTCGCAAAGTCCAGCAGGTGCCGCCCGTCGCCCGTCGCGACGGCCGGGGCCAGGCAGCCTGCCGTCGGCGGGAGCAGCACCTGTCACGAGCGGCTATCCGCGCCCTCGCGGTGTGGACTCCCTCCGGGGGGCGCGATCCCGCGGGTGCGCGGTGGCATGCTGCGCGGGGCATCCGCAGGAGACGCGTCGCGCTGCCGAGGCCCCAGGGCCCAGCCCGCGAGGCCGCGGAGGCGGAGAGACCTTTCGCCCACGAGCCCGGAGAGTCGAACAGACAAGAGCGCCAGCTTCCCCGGTCGACCCCTCCCCCCCCCACACGCCAGTGCCTCGGCGCGCGGGGCGCGCCGATGGCAGTCGGGGCGCGCCGATGGCGGTGGTGCCACTCTCGGCGGCCAGGGGTGCGGGGGGGGGGGGGGAGGGGGGCATCGCCGACTGAGAAAAACAATCGCGGC